ACCCAAAGCCAGCTTATAGTGGTCTCTGTCGTACAAGACATTTATCAGATCCGCAAAGAATGGATGGATTTCCTGTTAAGGCATATAACAAATTACACATCAGTTCCGAGCAATGGATCAAATCATAGAAGTATAAGCTATTTATGATAAATGGTAGGGCAATGGTCAGAGTGGTGCACAGCCAGTGAATCATTCATCGGACACAAGTGACCTACGAGTTGGTGGACTGGTTCATCATTTGGCTCATCAATGGTTAACAGTAAAGGCATTCATAGCTAGAAGTGACTGACGAAGGCATGTCTGCAATGCCTTCGATGGCCACCGATTGTGGACAACATTACCTCCATTTTGGGGAATTCGGTGACAATGGCATCCAATTTGTCTCTAAAGTTCTGTTGAGTGAACTTCACTTTTCGCATATAGAAGGACCTGATCCGCGATATCTTGTAGTGCTTGTGGACAACAGTCGGCGTCTTCCTCTGCGTCTTCGACAACACGATATCAATGAAGTCTTTGGTGGTCGGAACCACTGTAATGCTCTTGAAGTTATATCTCGAGCCCATGTCTTAGCCGTTGATTATCTTCTTTTTAGATACGAATCGACAAAATGACCGCAAATTGCATTCAGAAAGCGATGAAAACGTGGTTTGATTTCAGGTTCAGTGAGTGCAGCGGAAAGACAACGTGTTTTGAGACTGTGTTCAGCCTTTAAATAGCATTGCGTTTGGGTCTACACTCGTGCCCACAGGTGGAGCTATGGGTTCAGTCAAACTTTTCAACGACCTGGAGCATTTTTTATATGTAACTTATGATTTCTTAATATGAATTTATAAAATTTATCAATATTAAACTACCCTTTGTTTATTAAATTACCCTGTTACTGTATCTTTTAGAATGAAATATAAATAACATTAAAAAATCGATTCTTTATTTATTGTTTTATTTATCGATAATATTCATAAATATAATTCATAAATAATGGTTTTCATATAATATAAGTCTTAGATTTAATATAAGCTGATAAAATGTTTTAATCCAATCGTTTATGTGATGGTTTATTGATTATACTTTAATTATAACTTAATATAATGCAAAAATACCAATTTTCAAATTTAGTTAGCGATATAATCTGGCGATTTGTGTATTATTTAGTTTTGAAAAGTTTTTTCATTTATTTAATCTCATTTTGTTATAACTCCTCATGAACCTAACGTACCAGGTTAGACCCCAAAGTACTTGAGTTGATTTCATATAATAAATATGATATCATCACTAACCAGTAAGTCTAAAGAGTTATTTTATATCATAATTAATCTATAATTCTTGACAAATATTGACGTTTTATACACAATCAAAGGTGGAGTTTGATTCGTTATTGGCTATAGACTTGTTATCGGAATTAATTTTAGTTTAAATTATGGACCATAATTTATGGTATATTATGAGTTATTTTATGTAATTAGTTATTAGTTATTTAACAGACCTTTTCAAAACTCGTTTCAAGGGTTGTGTTCACTGAATATGTATTTTGTTTTATTCCTATTCTTCATTCTCTATCTCTTCTCGTTCAGTGATTCCGCCACTAATTCTGTTGCAAAAAATCCTGAAAACAATTCAAAGTTATTGATTATATTAGTCGATGGCTTTCGTTGGGATTATGTGGCGCGCGATAAGACACTGAAAGGCTTTCCCAAAATAGCACAAAACGGTGTGTCCGCCAAATATGTGAAACCGATATTTCCCGAGAATTCATACCCCAATTGGTATTCAATAACGACGGGAAGGTATGCCGAGAATCACGGATTCATTCAGAACTATATGTACGACAACGTGACCCACGAGTTATTCCTCATGAGTCCCGTATATTTCCCGAGAATTCATACCCCAATTGGTATTCAATAACGACGGGAAGGTATGCCGAGAATCACGGATTCATTCAGAACTATATGTACGACAACGTGACCCACGAGTTATTCCTCATGAGTCCCGCCCCCAACTGCTCTCAACCCCATTGGTGGACACAAAGCGAACCCCTTTGGATAACTGCCGAGAAAAATAACATTAAGACAGCGATGTATGTGTGGGACGGGTGTCAAGTGACCATCGATGGCGTCAATGTCACCCATTGTACCCCCTATTACTTTACTAGTGATGACGTAACCAAAGCCAGTAATATTACCCGTAATTATGGACAACAGATTTACCTACTGAAGCGGCGACTATTTATGTCTGAGCGTAACGAAATGGTGCTTAAACAACTAGTGTGCCCATACGGTAAACAGTAGGGAAAAAGTATGTTAATCAACGAATATTAAATTTGTTAGTTTTAGAAAGTAAGGAATATAATTTTTCATTCATAGTAACAATAATCAGGCACATTCTTTGCCTGTACTCAATTCTATATAACATTAGATATGAGTGTTTTGTAAATCAATTATTTTTGATATATTGTAACAAAGTCTGTGTTACAAATCCATTCAAACCGACATCTGTTTAATGATTTACATTCTTTGCCTGTACTCAATTCTATATAACATTAGATATGAGTGTTTTGTAAATCAATTATTTTTGATATATTGTAACAAAGTCTGTGTTACAAATCCATTCAAACCGACATCTGTTTAATGATTAAAAGTATTAGTGGAAATGTAGTGTCGGAGCTGAACAAACAATTACAGATAAATACCGATGACCTTCAGTACAAATATTACCTATTACAATTACAATAATAGTCTACTAAAATATAAGATTATACCTGGTGTTCACATTATACACTTGAACCACATTATCATATAAGTGTTTTTATATAATTTAAGATATAATTAATTAATAAATACTTATCAATAGACTAAAAATTAATCCTTTGATTACGTAATGACTGCTCAACAGGTCATGGATTTGGACCCAACTCTGAAAACATCACTCAAGCGGTTCGAGCCATTGATGAAGTTCTCAATGAATTATTCGATTCAATAGTAGAGAGAAAGTTAGACAAAGAGGTGAATGTAGTGATTGTTTCAGACCATGGAATGACTCAAATCGATGACTTCAAACAAATTGAATTGAAAGATGTCATAGACTTCAAAAATTCTGTACAATTATATCTTGGAAGCGGTTCCGGGGCTCAGATTGTGCCCAAACCCGGCAAAGAGGAAGAGGTATTGGATTTGTGATAAAATTAGCTAAAATTCTTAATTTTCATTAAAATATATTTTATTTTTAGATTTATAAAAACTTAAATCAAGTGAAAGGAATAACTGTATATAAAAAGGATGACATTCCGGAGAAATTTCATTATAAACACAATTCATTAGTTTTGCCACTTCTGGTTACAGTTGATGCTGGATATACTATTGCTGCGGTTGGTATATGAATGTTATATTTGTTATTAAATAAATTATAATACTTATGAAAACTCTTAAATGATTAAAATATAGCCGAGACTGGAAGGAGTGGTATATTATGGAGACTCAGGGAAGAAACCTCAGGGAGGAAACCATGGCTATAGTGTCGAGACTTCGCCTGACATCCGGGCCATAATGTATGGCTTCGGACCGGCTCTCAAGAAGAACTACACCTCGGATTGGATATCAATGGTTGATCACTACAACTTGTTTTGTCATATACTCGGCATTAATCCCATTCCCAATAACGGAACCGACGCTAAAGCCAAAGCAATGTTAGTGAGTAGTAGTGGAAATAGGGCTCACTATTCAGTCCTTTTATTCAGTATTCTTGTCACTTGTGTTTTAAAAGTATTTGTTTAGTTTTTACTAGTTTTATGTCATGTGAGATGAGAGACGTTTACTTTATTTTGTAAACATTTGACATCAATTATTATTCAATTTTTACAAAATATTAATATGTTTTCAATGAGAATATTTTGTTTAAAATGAGTAAACAAATAAATGAAATATAAAAACACTTGTTTGTGTATTTATTTTAGATAATCAATTAAAATTGTATCATGTTAAATTGAAAAACTATCACANTATGATTTGATCCATTGCTCGGAACTGATGTGTAATTTGTTATATGCCTTAACAGGAAATCCATCCATTCTTTGCGGATCTGATAAATGTCTTGTACGACAGAGACCACTATAAGCTGGCTTTGGGTCAACTCAATACTTGCAAACACATCGTCGACAAGTAAGTGCTGCCATACTATCACTCTAACTGATCCATTGGTGCATCGCATGAATTGAGGGCACATTTCTCGTGTTTGTCTGCTGTAATATAGCATTGAAACCCCGTTAATGTGCGAAAGTATCCCATAATCGTTAATTAGCTCTCATATGACCACCAATTCGTACGAGAGTTCAGTCACTGTTATGACACTCCTGTCCCTCTGCCCGTCCATAGCATAGCCCGCGATTACGTGCGTCTCCTGAAGTACGGCGACTCACTCTACCGGTGCAAACAGCTGAAGAGAGCGGCGTTGGGACGCATGGCTACCATAATGAAGCGCCAGAACCAGAACCTGCAATATCTGGAACAAGTGCGCCAACACTTGTC